CAAAATCAATCATTCATTTCCTTTTGATTTATTTATACATTCTAACAACGCTAAAACAATTTCAGCACTAAACTATTTCGCCTGTCATATACAGTATCTCCTGTTCATGTAGGTTGATGATATGAGCATGCACGACTGTGTGTAATCCATAAAAGGAATTGTTGTCATTTATAAGAGCCCATTAAATACACATTTCATGTTCCATGGGGCCCTTTAAGTAGATGGATAGCAGAAAGGCCTTGCACCATTTGCTGAGGGGACGCTGCAGTCTTTACGGACTGTAATGTGTTATAAATGTGTCTAAACTAGTGTCTGGATTCAGACTGCCTCTAAGCGGTTGCTATTGTTGTACCTGTCTGATATCCAGTAGGGTATCTCTCTTTATGTCTCTCTCTGTTGTATAGCTGAAATATTCAATTCTTTCTTTCATCTTCTTCAGAGCGTACAATTGAAGTTTCTCTCTGAGAATAGTCTTCGTTTGGCCGCTCATCCTCTCACGCTGGGATACTCTGACAGCCTCCTCCCACTTGATTCTGTTGGCAGCTCTGTTTTGTTTCCGTGCTGACTTGAATAGGTTTTAATGGCACTGCTTCATGTTTGAAATTAAGACTTGTGGTTTAAGATGACAAACCAGACCCAAGATCCCTGTGGCATGTGCCGCATCCAACATTTGCTCTGAAATTCAGGCCTAGCCGACATAAGGGGCTTGTCAGAGCTCTCCGCAGTCCAAAGACCCAAACATATTTTCTGGAGAAGGCAGACAAGTTGCTTTGGCTGGTGCTCTTGCATGTGGGCTTGACTTTTTCATAAGTGGCCTATTTGTCCACACATCATACTTCTGAAAAGAGGGCAGTCTGGATTCCTGCTGGAAAAGAGGGTGGTATTTTTTTGAGTTTGTCTGCTGCTCTCTTCTGTTCACTAAGTTTAGAAATTTCCCGTTAACCATCTGTCTCAAGTTCTGCCTGTAATAATTGTAATTAGGAAAACTTGGTTAGAACGAGCATTGGTTTATGTTTTGTGTACTTTATCACTCTCCCACTCTCCAGAAACACACAGAAAATTCACTGAACAGTTGTGACACTTGTGCATTTGATATTTGTGCAGAAAAAAATACTTTTTAAAATGTTTTTGAAGTGTCTCATATGCTCAACCAGACTGCGTTTGTTTAAAAAACACAGTAAAAACAACAATATTGTGAAATATTTCAAATAACTTTTTTCTATTTGAATGTATTTTAAAATGTAATTTTTCAGCAGCCACTTTTACTTCAGTTTTAAGTGTCACATGATCCTTCAGAAATTATTCTAATATGCTGATCACTGTTGAAAACTGTTAAATATGTTGGTGGAAACTGTAATCAGGGAACGAGGGTTACCATACGTAACCGAAACGTTCCCTTTCAGTTGGTTACTCTCGACGTCACTTTGGATGACCGACGAAATAGGATCCTCAAAAAGGGCCACAGCTACCGACCCTTGCTGCAAAAAGGACCGCACGACTCTGATCGGGCATATTCGGGGGTCTTCTCGGCGAGAAGAACACCACTCAACGAACAGGTTCCACTTCAAAGCGTAGGCGTGTCTCGTAGATGGTGATCTCGCTGAAGTGATTGTGTCAACTACCTCTTGAGGTAGGTCACTTAGTACCTCCGCGTCCCGTCCAGGGACCAGACATGAAGTTTCCAGAGGTCTGG